GTACACACACACACACACACACACACACACACACATTTATGTATTTATTTTTTCCGGAATTTTCAGAAAAGTCCACTTTCATCTCTGGCATTTAGACTGAGAAGCTATGCTACTTGCTTAGCTACCCTAATGTTATTGATCATGAAAGACGATGCTCGGGTTACTGAGTACACTTCACAGGGGTCTCGCTGGAACCACGTTAAAGTGGAGCATATCCAACTTTTACATAGCAGGCAGCTAAATGGTGTCTGGAGAAAATACAAAATGCTGCTACACACGCACACACAATGCTAAACAAGAAATTAATTGTTATTAGTGCTGCACAATATATTGATATTGCAATAATGGCCGATTCAGTACACATCGCAAAGGCATGCAATACTTTCCTTATGGATTGTATGCTTTTATCTGAATTTGACCAATAAGATGCAAACTTCAATCTGCATCGGTCCCCTGTAGTTGAACATTATCTCGGGAATTAAAGTTCATTAGTACACATTGAGCTTGCTTATTTTGCCACATGAAAAAAATGTACTTCTGTCATGAGATAAAAAAAATGTCATTTCTTTTGGTTCATGTTAAATATCGCAATAATATCGATAGCACTATAGTCTCATCCATATTGCATGTTTTTCCCAATATCGTCTAGCTCTAGCCCTAATTGTTATGGTTGTTACTGTGTCCCATACGACAGCTGGGAGAGTGCCCTATAAGATTAAACGTTTATGTTGAAGATAAGCAATTCTGAAAATTGAAAGATATAGCATTTTTAATACCGTATTTTCCGCACTAAAAGACGCACTGGATTATGAGGCGCATCTTCAATGAATGGCTATTTTGTAAATTTTTTTCATACATTGGACGCTTCACATTGTAAGGCGCAATCTACAATGCCTCCACTAGATGGTGCTACGCTCCTTCCATTCAAATCGAGAGGCGTCCGTTCAACTTGAGAGCCGTTCATGACCGCCTCTGACAAACGTAAAGTAACTATTACTGTACTTAAATGAAACTACGAAAATTGAAAATAATGCATCAAAACAGAAAATCAAGCGAGGAAATCACAAAATATAATAATCTATATCCCCCCTACAGAATTATTTTGTGATTTCCTCGCTGGATTTTCTTCGCTGTTTCATTGAAGTAATAATTAATTTGTTTTTCGGAGGCGGCCATAAACGCCTCTCGAGTGGAACGGAAGAGAAGGCACGGAGACGGACAAAGACGGACAGTACCTGTATTTGTTGAGACTGTGAAAACCATTAATAAAGTCTGCGTTTGAAAAAAAAATAAAACCACAACCACAGCTCTCCTTTTTTCAACAAATACAGGTGTGTCTATGTACGTCTCCATGCCTTCTTTTTTTCCGTTCAACTCGAGAGGCGTTCATGACTTCCTCCGAAAAACGCATTGGCATTTCCTTGATCGTAGCTCCAACAGTACAATCAGATGTCAGTTGTAGTTATTTATTCCTTTGTTGTGTATTCACAAATGATGAAATCACAATATAAATTCTGTAGGGGAGGGGCTATAGAATTTATTTTGTGATATCCTCACTTGCGTTTCAGTTTTGATGTATTATTTTCCATTTTTGTAGTTTCTTTGAAGTAATCGTTAGTTAACGTTTTTCGGAGGCGGTCTTGAACGCCTCTCGAGTCGAACGGAAGAAGGCACAGAGAGAGACAAAGACGTACCTGTATTTGTTGAGACTGTTTTAAAAAATTAACACCACAGCTCTCCTTTTTTTCGGAGCTGCAACACAAACTTATTTAATAAAGCAGCGACACAGTTCACTGAATCAACAGCAAGTTATAACATTGGAAGCATCTCGGAGTCGACTATTACCGTAATGACCATACACAAGATGCACCGGATTTTAAGGCGCTCGGTGAGCTTTTAAGAAAATGGAAGACTTTTTGGTGCGCCCTATAGTGCGGAAAATACGGTACATGCTATTACTCTTGTGATTTGTTTTCACAATGCAGTTCTGAATCTTGATTTTAACTTTTGAGAACTGCAAAATAAAATGTTTCTTATTTTATTTTTAATCAATTTCTGTCATAAACATTATTTTTATGCCTCTTATTTACTTTGAAGGTTGATATTACAATAGCATGTTTTGAATCTGCAACTTTTGTTTTGGTCCTAAATTCCTCCTAAAGATGTTTCTTCCTTCTATTTGTCTTTCTAGTCACATGCTGCCAGACCGACTCTCCAAGGGGGAGGAGGTACATTTACATTTGTCACTGAATTTACCTTGAACATCAGGGATGTCAAATTCACCTCAGAGGGCCGTTGAAACCGCAAACATTTTTAATCGTCTCATCGCATTATTATTTATGCACAACAAATGATTGGATTATTAGTTTTTCAATCAGTCAACTAGAATAGTTTGTTCAATTATGGTTCAAGTGAGTGTAAACAGGATTACAAAATTATTGCAAAATCTAATTTCTTATTTATTACACGTGACAATTTGACATTTCGGTGCAAATTTTTGCAAGGATCATGCAAGTTGACACACACATGATATGCTTTCGCGGGCCACATAAAATGACGTGGCGGGCCGGATCTGCCTCCTGGGCCTTGAGTTTGATACCAGTGCTGTACATCATAAAATACAACTTCAAAATAATTAAATAAGTAGACCAAATTTGTATCTTTTTAAATTTTTATTTTGTTTTATTGTCTCACCATTTGATGAAAACTCTTTCTTTCTTTAGATTTTCTTTTTTTGCTTCAATTTTTTGAAGCATATTGTCTCAGAGAAGTTCTCTGCTGTTAAAAAACACAGGTATGTTCCTTCGTTGATTAATGGGATATTTCTTTTCCCCACCGCACGATTTACATAATGTAGTCAAAATACTTTCCCAATCATATAACTCAAAATACGTCTTTGATTGTATTTTGTTCTTCATTATTTTGCCTTTTTTACAGAAGGAAGAACTCTCACTGCAAAGATGGTGATTTTACAGTCGAGGACCTTTGCCAGTTAAGTAAGGCAGCAACACTCCTGGCGTTGACCATCTATACTAAATATCCACCGTCCACACAGTACATTTTCAGTAATTCACAATATTGTCCAACATCAGAACCATCTGACTTGCCAAACCTCAAGGAATAAATAGCTGGCCGTGTGTGTCACACATTAGCTACAAAGAATATTCATTAAAAAAAAAAAAAAAAAACACATTTATTTTTGAGTCATATGCTCAAGTCACTCAGAAATACTGCAGAAATAATGTACTAGTCAGAGCTGTCAGGTAAGAGAAGTCGGTCTGAACACAAAAAATCTCAAACTTATCATCAAAGAAGACAAACTAAACTCAATAGATAGAGTTCCCAGGTGTCTAAATGCAGAAATCTTCTTAGACATTCTTCAGTCAAAATACATATAGGAACAACAGTGCCATGAAAAAGTATTTGCCCCCTTCCTGATTTATGTGTTCTTTGCATTTATCTCACACACAAAGGTTTCAGTTCATTGAACCGCTTTTAGTATCACACAGACAACCCAAGGAAATACAAAATGCACTTTGTAAAACAAAAAAGTAATTGATGGGAAAAAGTAATTGCCCCCTGAACCTGATAATGGGTTATGCCACTCTGGGTAGCATTAACTGAAATCAAGTGTTTGCGATAATTGGTGATGAGTCTTTCAAATCGCTGTGGAGGAATTTTGGCCTACTCTTCTTCGGAGAATTTCTTCAACTGATTGTCGGACGTTCTCCTTCAGGATTTTGTGTACCATACTTTCGCTCAGGACAATGTGTCAAAGATGCCTGTTGTGCGTGTCTCAGAGTCCAGGGACCGTGGAAGTGTGACAAGTCTGAGCAGTGACTTTTCCCTCATCACCGAGGAAGTGGGTGTGACTTCCAGCTTCACGAGTGACACTGTGGACCTCTTCTGCGGCCAGCCTTCACTTTCAACTTGGTTAGTAGCACGCACGCTTGAGTTCTGGGCAGATTTGGGGAAAATGGTTTGATCAGGTCCGCAAAATAATTAGCAATAAAAAATACATATGGAAAAAGCCAAGCCAAATACAGCTGACAATGACACTCATCAAATGTGATTTGCATTTATCTGATTGAATTGAGGGTTCTCACCCTTGTTCACATGACATAGAAACATAAAATTAATTACAAGTTATGTTAAATGTCTTACCGGGACAGGTGAAACCCTGGACGATGGCTGGTGCTTGGTGTCATCGATGTACTGTAGAGTTCAGACTTTCTCAATATGTCCATCCAGCAGCTACAAATAAAATTGGATTCAGAAAAAAATAGTTCAGTATGAAGAGGCATTGGATGATCTGGCCCCCATACACGCACACTTAAAATTCGGGTTTTATTTTCTGCATTCTCGGGCAACTTTTATGCATGTCACGTGAAAAATGTTGTTTAATGTTGAGCACTAATATGAATACACGGCTCCATGTAAACCCGGCTGTTGTAAGCCACTGCAACATTATGCACTGTTCAAACATGAACACTAGGCCGGTTTGCATGGTGCCATGTCTTCCGAATAGAATGTACTGTATCCGAATGACCAAACGCAATGAAAATGCTCCGTATAAACATCGGTATGAAAAGGTCAAAGTTTTGCCAATCTGAATAAACGCCTCAATCAGAATAGCCAAACTGCGCCCGGCCTGCGCATGTTTTGTCTTGACAAAAATGCGTAACGGATCAAAATGATCAAGTACTTGCTTGGCCACCACAGTTGACCACGCTTTCCTCCCTGACGATTCACTTTCCGATCCTTTGGAAAGTTGACGAAACTTTTGCCACTCCCTTCATCATTAGTGCAACTAACTGCCATACAATGAATGAACCATTATTCAAGTGCGAAAGCACGTGGAGAGCAACTGAACATGAAGAGCACACAACCACACACCACAGTAGCCAATAAATTGTCTGGCTTCTGTGGCGTCACAGCTTCGAAAATACCTCAAGACGAGAGGGCGTGAGATTCAAACCGCAGATTACACATTCTGAATTATATTTAGTGATGAAGCCGCTGTCTACCAATCATCAAATCACTTTTTAATGACAGTTATGCATTCTCAAGAAAAAACATTTCAATCTTTGCCCTCTGACCTTTAAACAAACAAACAGGGGGCACTATTGTCGAAAGGGTCTCTCATAAAATTAAAAGTACCAAAAAAGCAGGGGAAAAACAAGCGAGACCTGGGGATTTTCCTTGCTCTGAACCAAGATATGAGATCATGTCATGTTGCTCTCAATAACTCATTAAATGCCAGCCATTTCTATCAGAGCAAACCCCCAGCCCATTTAGAGGAATTGTGTTCTACAGCTATATAGTCATGGATCTTCCCAAAAGAAAGATTGAATTATCTTCTTTCATCAGCAAATAAAAGTTTCTTTCTCCCATTTGTCAAATTTAACTGAAAATACTGTTTCCGAGGTGTGTGTGTGGGGGGGGGGGGGGTTCGATTATTTTGTGAAGACATATATCAAATAGAACTTCAACTTTGACACCAATAAATGTTTTGATTTTTTTGCTTTTATGACATCTCAAAAATATAAACAGTACTGTATATAAAAAAGCAAAATGGCAAAAAACGATGTATTTTATTATCCACTATCTACCATTTGTCAAAAATGTATGAATATTGTGCTATAAACAAGTGTGTGTGTGTGTGTGTGTGTGTGTGTGTGTGTGTGTGTGTGTGTGTGTGTGTGTGTGTGTGCGCACGTGTGCGCACGAGCTAGCCAGAATCATCAAGATGTACAGTATGCTCCCTGCATGACTTCTGCAATTTAGGAATAAAAATTCACATCAAATATATTTATCTGTTGCAAAGTGAAATAAAGAAAAAACTTTCACCGTTCCTGGCCTTGCCAACAGGAGTAAGGTGTCTGATACTGCTGCTGAATCGACAACCGAATGTATGGACCCCAAAAATTACTTTTATTGTTCTAGTAACATACACATTTTTTTTCTGCACTTCAGACGTGCCTTTACACTAGTTTACCACAACTGTATTTTCCTTATTGCTATCTCAGCTAGTTCACTTATTCAGTGGCTTTAAGCTTTAGTGTGCACTGCTTATCTATAACCCCATATATAGATAATTTATATGTACAGTACACACGAGTACTGGAAATAGATGTTATATTGCACTTAATTGAACTGTGTCAGTTGTCAGTCAATGTCAGTTGCCGGCATTCCTCCATTTATCAATTGTTCTCCATACTTTGTCATGATTTACTTGAAATTCCTTCACTTTGGTCCTATTCTACTCTATAAAGAGTAGTGTCTCTGCCACGATCGAGGGCACTGTTGATCCCTGCTGGTGATTCTACCTTATTCCAATCCTTTCCGAGCTTAATTGTTGGTTCCCCTTGTACAAAACTTTGGTTTAGTTATGGTTTGACTTGTGAGTTATGCCTGGAGACTGGAGAGGGACGGAGGGACGTCGCAACGTTGCTGCCCAATGCACGTTGTCACATGTGCAATCAATCTTTGAAATGTCAGGTGGAGGGAAACACAAGCAAGCTAAAGTAACAAATATTGAAAATGTGCATCTCACCTCACAAAAATGTTCCAGCCTTGTTGCTATGCACAAGTTTTCTTTTATACTAAATTGTTTGACAGTATAACAGCTCTCTTCAAATTATTGATTTTCCTGTTTTCTTTTTTTTGGGGGGGCGGGGGGCGTTTTATAGCAATTGCCCGTGGTTTGTCCACATGGGTGAGAGTGAGTACCCAGCCATGTTGTATTCAGTTAAAAAAAAACGACATAGTGCAAGAATATCTGGACCACGACCAATCAGAGGAGGGTTGTGCTCTTCACTCTCACTGATTGGCTGAGACCATGATCGGCGTATTCGCTGAGTGAAGCTTTATATAATAATAATAAACATTTCATTTATAAGCACCTTTCAAGACACTCAAGGACACTTTACAACCAAAACAAGAACAATAAAACCACAGATATAATTATAAATACCAGTAATAAAATGAGAGATGAGAGTTGAGGCGACCTTTTGCCATCGGCTGGTTACAAATTGTGCAACTTTAGATTTTTTTCTTTTTCTCCAGTTGTACCATTGTAAAATGGAGGTGTCTGGGCACCCAAATTAGGTGCACTGTCGATCCCTGTGATACCAGTGCACACTGTCCCTCTGAGACGCAATTGCTTTTTCTTCAAAGGGAGAAGCCTGTGTAAATGTCGTTTTGTAATTTCATATAATTTTTCATTCCTTAGGAAAAAAGGCACCGCCTCCTCTCCTCAAATGGTTGTATGGAGCAAACAAAACCCTCTGGATGAACAGCTCCCACACCCCCACAGTGAGGCTCGGTCTTCCAGTTCATCCTCCTCCAATCACTCAGAACACGGCATCACGCGCACGGGAAGCAGCCCTTTGGCTGTACCCAGCCGAAGGTAACTTTGTTGATGTCATTGATTTAAGTTCCAAGCAGGACTGAGCGATTGATCGTTTTCCAATCAAAATGAAGATTTCAGACACCATTATGTGATTGCCAAAGCTGTGTAAGTGTGCAGCACTCCTGTCTGAAACCGGATCTGTTGTGTCAATAAATGCCACCTCCCTGCCATTCTTTTAAACTCACCAGTCAAAAGTGGTGTGCTAATCATGGGCAGGTCATGCGAACTAATCGGTATCAACCTGCTCCTCGTACTTTGTTATTCAAAAATTAAAAGTTAGTTGTGCCACAACGCCAATAAACAGCAGTGGCTAATTCTGAAACAAACACACTTTGACAACGACTGTACAAAGAGGCATTTTGTGTGGAAGTCCAGAGTCCGTTGATTCCAGGTCCATGAAATCCAGGTTCCACTGTATGTATGTTGTTTCCTTTTTAACTTGGAGTTTGTAAACGAGTTTGTAAGTGTCATGGCTTGTGTTGGGCTAACATAAGGATCTGAATGTGCCAGACAACGAATCGCGATAATGCTTGTTGACATCAAAGCATTATCCCCCAGCATAAAACTAGCTTCACAACTCCACGAATCCGCGGTTATGGCCGGCTGGCCAACAAAGCTGCAGTGGGACAGTGGCTCCTCTAAAAGTTCTTAATCATGGCCTCCTTAGCGGCGAACAAGCGCCACTTCTGACAAGTATCGTTAAAACGAAAGGAGGATGAGAGTAGTATTAAACAGGATGCAAGCTAGCCAAGGCTCAGCCATGCTTAACTGTTACTAAAGCGATCTTGATTGTTGTCACAGAACACCAGAATATATGAGTGATGCGAGAGCAAAATTTTCACCCGTATCACTGGAACCGCGTTTGTTGCAGAGGAGCATAAGCAACAATGCACAGCACTTTAGTAAGTGTTGACAGAAAAAATAGAATACACAACCATACGCAGTACTGTCCAAAAACCAGAAATAAATTCCTACATTATAACGTGTCAGGCAAGAGGAGGGGCCTCTAAGACTATGTCCAGACTGCAGGCAAATAAGACCCAAATCATTTTTTTTTTTTTTTTTTGCCCACGTGACCTGCATCAATTTTATTCTAACTGTCTGAACAGCTCAATTACAATTTTATCAAATGTGACCCGGGTGGCTTTCATATGGTCCTAGATTGAATACGTGTCAAACTTTTTGCAAAGCGACTGCAGTCTGAATTGACAGGTCGCATAAATCTGACCCGATAATGCACTCTGCGCGGGCGGGGAAGTCTGAATGCCTGGGAGGGAAATTGACAATTGTCCCTGAATCGGCAAGTAGTTTTGCGTAACAGTATTGACTTTATATTTGACTTTAGTTTAATGAGATGGTCGACTGGTTAGGACGTCCGCCTCTCAGTGCAGAGGACCTGGGTTCGAATCCGGCCCCGGTCTTCCTGTGTGGAGTTTGCATGTTCACCCTGTGCCTGCATGGGTTTTCTCTGGGTACTCCATTTTCCTCCCACATTCCAAAAACATAGATGGTAGGTTGATTGAAAGCTCTAAAGCGGATCAGTTGGATGGATGGATGGATGAATGGATGGATGGATGGATGGAATTTAGGGTTTGGATAGATGGATAGATTGAATGATATTGAAACATGAAGTGTGGACATTTTTGGTGATAGTAATTCAGGCACGCAGACAGTTAATTTAGTACGCGGGGCAATGACATAACGTCATATTTAGTTGACATCTCCATGAACTAAGGAGATAAAAAAGCCTCGCCTCATTGACAACTCGAAGGAGCCTATTGACAGTCCGTTCATACTGTACATAAGCTCGTGTCTGCAGCTACAGCCACCCGCACAGCAGAGAAGCACGCTCCAGCCAGCCAAAATAAACTAGTTTTGAATTCATCCACAGTCGAAATTATTAAAAAAAGGCAGATGCTGATAATCACCAAAATGCCGGTATTGGCCCCGATAATCGGCCTGGCAGATAACCCATCTACCACTAATATACAGAACCTTGGCACACACCTTCATAATACAAACAAGAACAAGTCAAAGTAAGAAGCTAAGATTTGCTGATCTTAATTTACTAGATAATGCCTTTTTCTCTGCTGGTTCTTTGCGTTTATGCACTACTGTATCTCATAGTCTATTTATATCTCATGCACTGATTCACTCGCCAACAGCCAATCCGCAAGATCAGTTGTCAGCGACACCATGTTGCATACTGCCATCGACGGCTCATTCATTCATTCGGACCATATCAGAGGTTAATTTGATGTAAGATCATGATTTGAATTCAAATCACTATCTGGCTGGAAAAATTGCAATTACATCTTTACCTAAAATGATTCGGTTCAACTTCCAAGTTTTGTAGAGTGAGACATGCATGTCAGACTTGTATATCTAAACTCAGGCTACTATGAAAATGTTCATTTTATCCGGTGACAATAAATATGGATATAAAAGTGTAACAAAGTGTATTCTTCAATAGAATAGGCAAAATTTAATTTCAAAGTGTCTGTATCTGGCAAAATCAACTTTTCTGAGCTTTTAGTAATGTTAAAGCGCCAATTCCTCACCATAAACACCCCCAAAGTGGAGTTTTCCTCCATTTATCCCTCCCGGAGCGTTCTTGTTCATTCCTGCTCTCAGCACCAAGCCCTCCCAATCCAAGAGAATGACTAGGTCTTTTTCTATGTCACAAAGTGAAGGGCCACGCCCGTACAGCCCCTGCAGACAAATCACAGCTTTCTCAGACGCACCAGAACTGGGGACGAGTGCACCGAGTCTGTCTAGTGAACATTTTCTAGTTATGCTTAAATAGAAAATGTGCAAGTGGTGAAGATGAGTGTTTGGCTGTGAGAAGTTTTGTATATTTGTGGTGGGAACGGGGGACGAGAGGGAGAATCCTGAGAGCAGTTGGGAGAGCATATGTTATGCGACTGAGATAGGCATTCATCTGTGTGTACGCTTTGCCTCAGCCAGTTTTTGCTCTGTTTTGGCGTCTGCTAACGGCCCACATTAGCCGTGTTTGTGATTTACAAAAAAAATTGAGATAAACAACCAACGTCTGACATGGTTGGCGATGTGCACAGTGGCCGGCTTGAAGCGTAGTGAAAACGAAGCGGCAGCCACATGGTGAGAGGCGGAGTTTTAGTCAGCCAGGCATCTCACTTCCAGGCTCGAAAAATAACTCCTATTTCATAAGAAATTAGATTGACATTGTGCCAAAGGTAATATAGAACGTGTGAATGAAAATGAGTGTGAAACGCTGGTCCTCGAGGGCCGTTTGCGTACGTTTTCCATCTCTTCTTTTGCAATACACCTGATTCAGATGATCAGCTCATCAGCAAGCTCTGCAGAAGCTTGATAACGATCCATTTCATTTAAATCGGGGTGTTGTAACAGGGAGAGATGGAAAACGTGCAGGATGGCAGCCCTCGAGGACCAGATTTTGACACCTTTGAACTTTAAACGATTACAGGAATTTCATAAATTCCGATTTTTTTTTTTTCCAGGTTGCATTCTTCCTCTTGCCCAAAATTTGGGATCGGCTCAATTTTATGAGTGCAATTTGGTTATTTTTGAGACATTTACATGCATCTTTTCATCAAGTTCACTTTGGTGGTCACTTAGTAGCTTTGAGAAACAATTAACCATTAGTGAAAGGTATTCGTCATTTTTATCGACAGGTTTGCAGCAGACTACAATCGATCCGGGTCTTCGCTGTCTACAGAGTATGGTAGTTGGCAGATTGTCTCTGGTTGTGGTAGCATCCATGATCATCCTCCCTATCAGCCACCGCTGGCTTCGGCCTCCACCACCTCGTCTGCTCTGGCTGCTCCCTACGACTCCCTCCTGCCCTTCAGCTTTCAGGAGGAAGGACCCAACGGACGACTGTGAGTAAAGCTGCTACCCCATCCTAATTTTTGAGTAGTGGTCAATAAAACGGAAATTATTTCATTTCATGATGATAGGCCAATCTGTTGAATCCAGTAATTTTATTTTTCTGAACTGCCAAATGTTACGGATTGTCCGTTTTTTAATACCGACATCACTGAACGGTAGGCATGTTCTACCCGTAACACTGATTGTTCCGGATATGTAATAAATAAATAAATGAATAAATAAATAATCGGATCACATTACTCAAGTCTTTGTGTGTATCAGTCTTTGGGCATGTTACTTTCAAAAAGTAATGAGTTATGAATACAAATTACTTCTTTCAAAAGTGATTAGGTTACTAACTCAATTGGATTACAGCCTTATAAAAGTAATTAGTGCCTCAGCAAAGTAATTGATTTTTTTTCGATTAAGGTCTTTCTGTAGTCTGTACAATATGTTTGCTATAGCTGAATGAATAATACAAACTATAGACATTATCACTTTTGATATTTAGTTGAACGTAACAGATTGCAACTTGCCATATGCATAGAAATAAAAATGTTCGTCCATCCATTCATCCATTTTCGACCGGTTACCCGGAATCGGGTCGCGGACGCAGCAGCTTCAGCAGGGAAGCCCATACTTCTTCGAACTCTTTGGAGGCATCCCAGGCCTGCTGTGAGGCAAAGTCTCTCCAGCATGTCCTGGGGCCTCCTGCTGGTGGGACATGCCCGGAACACCTCGCCAGGAACCTCAGTGTCACGGTTGCGAGGTGGTGGTGGACCCCAAAAAGCAGGCAGGAGGGAGGAGCAGGGTGTATTTGAAGAAGTGTATTGATAAAACACAGAAAACTAAATCCTAAACAAACAAAGTCCAAAGTATCAAACAAAAACCATGACTGAAGCTCAAAACTATCAATAACAAAAACATGACCTAAACATGACTGACAAACAAACATGACAGCAGCAAAAAGCAACAATGACCCGACACCGAGTGTTCGGGCTGGGAGTCTTTTTAAAACACTAATTACATAATGACCAACAGGTGTGCAGCTGCAGGGAGAGCCCTACAGTGCCACCTGTTGGTCCCAAACCGAATCATGACACTCAGAAGAACAGGACCGCACAGTATATTCTGTTTTAAACTATGTTTTTAATCTTGTATTTCTTAATTCTTGTTATCGTTGAGTACTGTGAAAAGTACTTTCAAATGAAATGTATTATTATTATTGTTATTATTATTATTATTATAATAATATGTATTTGCAGCCTTAATTAAACAGACCGAAATTTAAAGTCCCATTTTAGGATTGATTGATTGATTGATTGATTGATTGATTGATTTTCCAGAGCAGTATTGGCTCTCAATGGTGTCTGCATGGCAGTTCAAAATGTATATCACGTCTCTATCCATAGCATGTTTATCTTCTGTCACTAGCAGTGGTCTCAGAGGCATATTATGGTGATCGGCCTCACTGTAAATGTACTTTATTTACCGTATTTATTTTGTGCCCATGCCAAAACACAAGTGCATGCATGTTCGCTCACATGCACGCGCATCCACTTGGACGCACATTATATTCCGCTTTCCAACCTTCACATCTGTTAGAATATGTATATAAAAAGCGCATCGGGGCACCAAAAAGACAAATTCTCCCGTTTTCTCATTGTGATTATACAGCATGGTGTGCACCAGTGAACAAGCATGTGCTAACTCCTAGCCCCAACCGCACGTAGCATGTCGTCTCGACCCATTCTTCATGTCAATGGTCATGGACAGTTGAAGTGCTTCGGTGGCATGCAAACTCCTCTTTGCACAATCCGTTTGACACCACGCTTTTATCAAGGCTTCAATCAGGTGGTTGAAATGAATATTTTAATGCATTAATTCTTCTGTAATTAAACAACCATAATTAAGGCGTTAAAATCCCGCCTCTCATTTTCATCTAAAAAAATTGGAAAATTCTGAATAATTGTTCGGGAAGTGAATTTCTACAGTTTAGCATTTTTCTTCTTTCTCTGGTGTGAGCTTGTTAATAAATACTGCATTAAAGTCAAAGTCAGCTTTATTTGCAAATATGCTCTATGTACAACATACAGCGCAGATGAAATTTCTTTCCTCTCAACCACAGTGCAAACATGCAGTGCATTAAAAACACACACACACAAGGCAGCGAAAACTGAACTGTATCAAAAAGACATAAATACAGTATATAAATAAAAACAATAAATAGCAGTCAACAGACAACTACTACACATGTGCCATCAGCTCAATGATATTTTCTCTCTCTCTCTCTCTCTCTCTCTCTCTCTCTCTCAACATAGGTGTCCCTTTCCCTCGGAACGTCAAGCCCGTCTAGAAGCTGTGCGGGAAATCTTCCTGGCAGCCTACAGTTCTACAGTGGGTCTGAAGTCTGTCGCGTCCAGTCCTTCTGGTGCCATCACAGGCCTGCTTGAGCAGTTCGCCCGTGGTGTCGGCCTCCGAAGTACCAACACTCTTGTCTAATTTCAGTGTGATTGCTGAGTGAGAGCGATGTTTCATCAAATCCATCCATCAAATTATTTATGGACTACAATAAAGTGCCAAACATCCCTTGTGCAGGGGATTTTTACTTTCGTATTACATGTGAATTTGAGTCTCAATCTTTTCCTCAATAGTTTAATCTGTTTTGGCTTGTTCATCCAATACAAGGAGGGAGGTTTTTTTGTTTTTGTTTTTTTTGGTCTGCATCAAAATGCCACCGTGAGAAAAGGCTTACAGCATGGTTTTGCTTGTTCCCTTCCACTCTACGTCGTATTATAATATCCAAAACCTATTCCCATGAAGTTGGGACGTCAAAACAGAATACAGTAATCCCTCGTTTTTGGCGGTCAATGGGGACTATAAACCCCGCGTGAAAAGTGAAAACCACGAGGTAGGATTTGCCCATCCCGTAGGAATTTTCGTGTATGTGGCTAGCAGCATATTTAAAATACGTAAACAGTATTTATGCTTTACATATTTGAGAAGAAGATTACAACAGTACATATATTTGCCGTAAAACATACAGTCATTAACGTCATCAACATTGCATTCTGAGAGAGGCGAAGAGGCTTGTGTTGGTGGCGGTGTCTGTTCACGCTGAGACTCTTCTGCTGGAGGCGCTGACGGTGTCACTGAGATTTTTTAATTGGAGAGAAACAAAGGTTTATCATTTTGTTAGTTATGGCAGGGTTAGGGTTTCTTTTTTTAATCAGACAATGGTTGTTTTTTAGTGAAGAAAAAAAACTTGCCGAGCTGTCAGTTTCGGCTGTCACTTCAGCCTTCGTCTTAGCTGTCACTGTTTCCTTGTGACATGTCTACAAAACAGCTGACTGGGTCAGGAAACCTTCAAAATAAGACTACCTGACTTGGTCAAAGCTGCAAACAAACGCACCGCCGCCGTTGATGGTGCCATCTCCAACGAACGGGCTGCCACGCTCCCACACAACCGGGACGCATTGCTTCGGTGGCTGCACAGGGTTGGAGCGCAGCTTCCCTAATCAAAAAAAGTAATCGCCTCAACAGTAAAAGTTATCGCGAACACAACCCTTAGATTACAGTATGCTAGACTGTTAACAGATTGGCGATGACGCACACCATGCTCAGCTCAAGGAATTAATCCACTCGTGCTCTAAATGGTCGATGTTGCGCTGGGAACCAGTCACACGCCTTGTTTGAGTGGGCATGTACAGTACAGTACAGGCATGCACAAAACCTCTGAGGCACGTCAGCTCTTTGTTTGGCATGCAGGGAAACATCTCTCGCGTATCAACATGAAACAACGCGTCTTTCCGCAATATGGGTTCTGATATGGCTGTATTTTAATTAAAAAAAAAAAACATGAAACACTGAAGCCGCAAAACTTGAACCACGAAGTGGCGAGGGATCACTGTCCAATGATTTGCAAATCATGTTCAGCCTATATTCATTGAATACATTACAAAGGCAAGATGTTTAATATTCAAACTGATAAACCGTTTTTAGCAAATCATCATGAACTAAGAATTTTAAATATCGGTTGAACATGATTTGCTAATTATTATATTGTGGTTTTATTTATGTTTGACACTACAGTGATCCCTTGCTATTTCGCAGTTCGTTTATCACAGCTTCGATGCATCGCGGATTTTTTCAAACATATTCATAAAAAAAAATAAAATACACTTTAAGCCCGCAAAAAGTCCGCAAACTGTCCGCGTGAAGCAGCGAAAGTCAGCAATACAACAGCGAGTCACATAGAGCAACATATACAGTACTACATGTATATGTTTACTGTATTTTGTTATTCATACACTAACTAACTTCACCTAACTTATACATGTTTAAATATATTAGTATCCAGCATTAAGTAATGTTAATTACAACAAAATTTACTTCTGCATGCATGTACACCTTATAAATATTTTTTATACTCATACACATGTACATGTACCTATAGGGGGGGTCCGCTACTTCGCGGATTTTTGTTTATCGCGGGTGATTTCGGTCCCCATTAACCGCGATAAACGAGGGATTACTGTACGTCCCAACTTCATTGGAATTGGGTTTGTCCACAAAACACTTGTCTTTTGGCACATTTCATGATTTGGTGATTGGTGCAGTACATGTAAAGTTTGTGTTTTTTGTGCATTCCACTAAGATGAGACATTGTAAAAAAATACAACTGCTGGCAGCAATGTCTAAATAACTATTTAGTTAATTTAGAGGCAGAAATTACCTCAGCATATTTGCATGGCTGCTACAAAAATTGATTTCAGAGGGTGCTTTTTTTTTTGACATAAGGATACCTTTTTTTTTTTATTTTTTATTTTTTTTATGTTTTTGTATTTCTTGGGCAATTTTTTTTTCCAGTTCAGTTGAGTCTTGCTTTGAAGGAAGGAATCAAATCTTGCAGCTGATTATACTTTGTTTCAGCTGTGGTTGCTTTTGAAGTGCTGTGTAAATGAAATTGATTTGAGCTGAGTTTATACATGCGTCACAGAACTGCCGCCTTGAACATATTGTAAGGAAAGTGGCTAATCCAAAAAGTTCTAAGCAATTTCCTCATCTCAGGTACGGTTAAACTTTTGTGGTAGAGCTCTAATGCCCATTCACCACTGTGCTGCCAGCTCAGAATTAGAAACCTTTTTGTAAGCATGTCTCGTTGTCGGGTGGTCTTAATTTTCCATGTACCGGTACATGTCATGAGCAGTGTGCAAGCTTTGTAAAAGTAAAACCAGCAATCTTTACTCATCCTCCCATGCATGCATGCTTTTCAAGATTCATGGGTGCTTTCCTTCATATTTGCACTAATGGATTTTTTTTTAACTTTCAGGTCTTAATTTGCAAATTTCAATAACATTATGTTGAAGTTTTACTCAAACTAGCTGTCAATTTTGATGGCTTAAATTTTTTTTGTGCATTTTTTTTAATCCAACTCCATTCATGCCCATAAGACTTCAATTGGAATATGAACTTCCTCATACTGTAAAGAGCCAAATGAGAAGGTGCTGTTATTTTCATTTGTTGACGTCTACCAGCACTGCAAACCTGACTACTTTTATTTTGTGTATATCCTACAAAGATATATTGAATTAAATCTTTAGCAGATAAATTTGTTTCTTTTTGCCAGCATCTCTGTGCTAAGATAGGCCACGGTCTCACTTTTGCACCCTTTAGTTCTCCCTTTGTTCGAGCTTAGCTCACCTCACTTCTGGATGAAATAATTGTGTTTCATCTAATACTTGCGCCATTCCGTCGACCTCCTAGTGCAGAGGTCGTGGTTTTGATCCCGGCTCCGGCCTTGCTGTGTGGAGTTTGCATGTTCTTCCTGGGCCTGCATGGGTTTTCTCAGGGTGCTCCAGTTTCCTCCCACATTCCAAAATCATGCATGGCAGGCTGATTGAACACTTAAAATTGTCCCTAGGTGTGAGCGTGAGCGCAAATGGTTGTTCATCTCTGTGTGCCCTGCGACTGGCTGGCAACCGGTTCAGGTTGTCTGCCGCCTACTGCCCGAAGACGCCTGGGATATGCTCCAGCACCCCCCATGACCCTTGTGAGGATAAAGCTGATCGGAAAATGGACTTGCGCCATTCACTACAAGTAACTGTCAGCAACAGAGCGCCATTCACTTCGTCACTGTCAGCAACAGACAGACAACTGGGCAAATGAATTGATGATGCAAGATAAGCCGACTGTCTTCATTGCGTTTGTTTTGTAACATCTTCAACTTGTGCTGTAAATTTGTCCATCGCATGAAAATGCCGGCGCGCTCAACTGGGGCTACACACATTTCTGACGGTGCAGTAGCGCCCGCGAGCCCCAGTGGAGCGCCATTCCTGTGCAACAAGCTCCTCAGTAAGAAGCCTGGTGCAAATTAAAGGAAGCAAAGGTCGACGCTATGCAAATAAAATAACCATGAGTTGCCCTTGGTCTGGAGCTTCCTACAAGAACTCACTACGCGTGTATGTGTAAGGATGATGATGAAAAAGGTGGGGGGTCAGCCCAGAACTACATGGGAGGACAATCAAGTCTCCCCCCCACCCCCTCATGACCTTAAATCAATACAGTATTTTGAGAAGAATTTGATCTCATTTTTTTATCATAGGCTTTTCCAGCATAAATCTGTAACGGCCCTCATCAGAGAAGTGAAAATTCACATTAAAGGACGCAGTCGTAGTACACCATGCCTCAAACTAATTGCACGTTTTCCCTGTCTTTGTGTTTGATCAATTTACCTTTCATACTTACAAACTTTGATGCAATCACCAGCATTCTTACACCAGAAATTGATTGTAACAGTGAAACCAAAAAAATATATGACTAATGTCTGGTGTTACACAAAGAGTCAAAACCAAAGGGATCAAATTTGATATGAAACCCAACTCCAATCAATTACAACTCCAATATTGCACTTAGCCCCTTTAGAAGTGAATAATTCCTCAAACAAATAAAATGTGACTCAAAAGACAAATACTAATAACCAAAAGAAAATAAAACAAAGGGCCTTGATTAAGTCTTAACATGGATAAAAAATGTGATTTCATAATTTCACTTTCAGATAGGATACATGCGGCCCGGTTGTCGACTGGTTAGCACATCGGCCTCACGGTGCAGAGGTGCAGGGTTCCATTCCTGCACCGGCTGTCCTGGGTGGAGTTTGCATGTTCTCCCCATGCCTGCATCATTTTTCTCCAGATACTCCAGTTTCTCCCCACATTCCAAAAACATGCATGGCAGGCTAATGAACACTTTAAATTGTCCCTAGTTGTGATTGTGGAAGTGAATGGTTGTTCGTCTATGTGTGCTCTGCAATTATCCATTCAGATGCTTAATGCAGTGGTCCCCAAACGCAGGTTGTTATTTGGTACCTGCACAGATTTAAATTTTTTTGTTTGTTTTACATTATCATCTGGGTGGGGCAGTGATAACGTACCTCAACACCTCCCCGTTGACTGATGGGAGCCAGCCTAATGGTTGGAGTGGAGCATATACTGTATGCTGGAACATGTTGCCCAACTGGCTGCTTAGAAGTTTGAAGACATCTCTGTAAGTAAGGCCGGGGCCGGAATCGAACTCACGACCTGTGCACGGTGAGGCGGACGTGCTAATCAGTCGATCACCGTGCCACCCTACACTTTTCTCATTTATTTTTATTGTTGTTTTGTCTAACGGTACCGATTTTCCTCAAGTTTGTGGAATTTTGGAGGTTGATGGAGCGCTATAGAACACTATATCGTCTTTCGTCGCCATCTCCTCGTCAGTAAGAAGAATGCTGCCGGCGACAAATTCCGGGATCCAAAACAAATACGAGCAGTTTTTCAATTTGTGTCCTATTTATCTTTTAGAAACAAAAAAAAATCTAAACTGTTCTTAGACTTTACCTTACTCGTTCTTTATAACAAACGAGAAAATCAAGCTACATTTCAATTTTGGTGTTTCTAATTGGAAAGAAAATCAAATAACGAGTCGTTTTTGTATTTTTAATAACTGCTTCTCAACATTTGATATTCAAAGTCCGAGAGAGATACGGACCCAACAAAGATTTTACAGGCCTTTGCCGATGAACTGTACACACGTTACAAGTAGAATTGTCGCCATTTTACTTGGGCGGGTCTATCCTGTCAATGCTACAGGGATACCAAAATGGAAATCCAGGGGCTTTCTGAAGCCCAAAACATTCAATCGCAACATGGCGCCCCGCGCTCAGACCTGTCGTCTGCTTTGGGGCCAGTTAGTGGGTCAATATTTCGTTTTCCTCCCCCCAAAAACGAAGCGGATCTTCAATTGGAATCGTCTGAATGTGGAAACCAGAACAGCAGACCGAGGACATATCCGCTTCTCCTACTGGCGGAAAATGGTGGAGAGGTGGATTTGTCGCAAGTCAACAAGCCGCAACTCAGCGACAAAACAAATATGCTCGAGGATATACAGAACGGGGAACTTCGTAACGTGAACACAACAGAGGAAGACAGCGAGAACCCCGGCTGTACGTCGAACTTTGTCATTTCCGACCGGAGAGCTGGAGCAGAAAACGCGGATTCGACATTGCAAATGGCGCTGCTTCCACTCGGCGGGGAAGAGGAACCGACGCTTGAGCCGCAGCTAACGTTACCATTTCCAGTTTTACGGCATCAGCGTGGGAACGGAGCCTCTCAGCAGCCGTCAATGGCCAGCCACAACCTCACTGGCGTGGATAAAATCACATCAAAGGAGAGTAAAAACAACGCCCAAGAGCTGTATTTAGTTTTCAATGTAATTCAGGATGATAAGAATTGTGACGGAAACAAACATCAACTGGACTCCTCGTCTAAAATGTTGGACAAAATGAAAAGACGAGGACTTGAGTGCTTGCAAGCTACTTCTTGTGAGACTATGGACTTCGGAAACGCAAGTAATGTTCTTCATTGCTGTTCCAATGAACAGCAGGATCGCTCAGACACATTGGATTCGAAAAAAACAGACGCTGTGGATAATTTTGAGAACGGTTCTTCATCTAAGGTTGGTACCAAACAAACAGACTATTACCGTACCGTCGAAGATGTTGTTTTGACGAACAAATATGGCGAGAAGATATGTGGCCAGATATGTACCGAAAACAGCGAAGGGAAGGCGTTACGAGAGCTTTCGTTGCAGGCTCGCAATGATGGTTTAATTTCTACAAATCTGGACATTG